AAATTTCTCTCCATCCTTTCCCTCAAAGACCATGACGCTCACCATGAGCGGCTTAGGGCGGGGAACGTCATCTGTCACTGACGGTGGCGTCATGGACGCAAATGATGCAGACATCTTCTTCTGCAAGTGCTCTAGCAGCGCGTTTTCGTAATTTGAAAAGGCCTGGAGACGCGTACCGATTGCCTCGGGGCCTTGCGCCACAAGAAGTTGCACGCCCTCAGGGCCCAGCAAGGACATCAGCTTGTTAAGCCCGCCCTGTATGCCCTGGGCAAAGAGGAAAATTGTTCCATCCTCACTCCTCTCAGAGATTCAGTCTAAACGACTCAGGTGTTAGGTTGACTGCAAGTGTTACCAAGTGCAGCGGGGCTGCCGTAGCTTAACGCTCGAGGAAGCGTAATTTAGGTCACCGACCTTTCGTTCTATACTTAAAATAAGTACGAGTTAGCGGATCGCAATCTGCTTACTCCAAGAGTAATTATTGCCCTACCCAAGGCTAATTATCTCTTTCGTTTGAAATCCAAAACTCTTGTTTGGGTGTGGTCACACCATGCCCATATGGCGTGACACATACCCTGGTAACAGGGTATGTGTAACCCCGTTACAGCTTTTTCAAGCCCATGTAAAACGTATGCTCGCATTTTTTTGATATTTGATGAGTTTTGTAATATCGGCTGTCTATGACCGTGAGCGGTCCGATACAGCGAAGTTACATCTGAGTGTTATTGACTACACATACAGAATGTGAAGGTAGAATAGCCCCATTCTATAAAACTTTTTCAACAATAACATATTCATTTGTGTCTTCTCTGCTTTGTTATTCGCGTGCTGCTTTTCTGCTTCGTGGCACTTGGCTTTAGCGCCGCGCATTCGGCGCATGGCGCACAATCTTGAAATTTACAATTCTGCGACAAAGTGTAAGTGTAATGGGTTTGTTATCAGCAAGTCTAATCGTATCGACAGCCCCCTCCAAGATCGGAGTTACTTCGTGGTGATCAAAGAAATACAAGAGTTGACCTTATCATTTGGCTAGAATGAGGTAAAGCTGGTTAGGGGCGCAAACAGCGTCATTTCATGAAAACTCAATAAATTGGAGCATTTTAAACAAATTTCGCGGTTCATCCGTGCAAGTGCTTGTAAAAATCTCCTACCACGCAATTATTATGTTTTAATCAACTGTCTGTCTGAGGCTGGTCAGTGAACATGTGTGTTTAGCAGTTTGCCAAAATTTTGCTTTAACACGTAGATCTTGATCCGGAACAATGACCAACGGCGGCGAAAGAAGAGGCTGGTTGCATTTTTAGTAACAATTTCGTCGTTTTGCTAAGATATTTCACAGATTCCACAATGCCAATATACGAAATTAAAGCTCTTACGAATGGCCTATCAATATTCTACCGACATTAGTCGCCAAGAGAATCTGATTTGATGGTTCGTGTGAACGTCTCATCAAAACGGCGTATACACCAGTGCATAGCACAGAGCTCTGTATATATGTCTATTGTTTTAAATGCAGCTAAATCAGACATTTTACTAACAAAACTTAATTCTTTGTACACAATAATACAGACTTTCATTGGCTCCGATAAAGTAGTTAAGTGGACATTTGATGCACCACTGAGGTTGCCAAACTATAGCATGGCAGACCGTAAGCGAAAGGTAGATATTGGCGACTTAGATAGCTCCCAAAAGAAGAAGCGCAAAAGCAGGTTCTCAGATGCACCGCCGACTGAAAGTCTCTCGAATTCGGGCATAAACCCACTGACGGGTGGGCCGTTTTCAGCCCGATACCAGACGCTGTTGGCTCAACGTCAGAAGCTACCGGTGCATCAGTTCTTAGAAGAGATTAAAAAAGCCGTCAGTACACACCAAGTCATTGTCGTAGAGGGTGAAACAGGGAGTGGCAAGACCACACAAATTCCACAGTTCCTTACGCTACTACAAGCTGGTAGCGGCAAAATGGTAGCTTGTACACAGCCACGCCGAGTAGCTGCCATGAGTATCGCGAAGCGCGTAGCTGAAGAGATGGACGTGCTGCTTGGACAGGAAGTGGGATATACAATCCGGTTCGAGGACGTCACCAGTCAGCGAACCAAGTTGCGCTTCCTCACGGATGGTATGCTTTTGCAACACGCAATGAGCGACCCGCTACTGTCCAGTTATTCGACAATTTTGCTAGATGAAGCTCACGAACGTACGTTAAGTACCGATATTCTCTTTGGTTTGCTCAAAGAGGTGCTACCAAAGCGTCCAGATCTTAAGGTAGTGGTCATGAGTGCGACACTCGATGCTGTAAAGTTTCAAAAGTATTTCGAAGGCGCCCCGCTAATTGCCATTCCCGGACGTACCTTTCCTGTTGAGATTTTTTATACGCCTGAACCAGAACGTGATTACTTGGAGGCAGCCGTGCGTACGGCTGTTCAAATTCATATATGTGAGGACGAAGGAGATGTGCTGCTCTTTCTAACTGGTCAAGAGGAGATTGAAAATGCCTGTCGTCAAATTCGTGCCGAGGCTGAAGCACTAGACTCGACTAAATACGGACCACTTGATGTGTACCCGTTGTACTCAGCATTAACGCCACAGCAACAGCAGCTTATCTTTAAGGAGGCTCCACCACCACGCTTTCCAGGCGGCCCAAAAGGCCGCAAGATTGTCGTTTCAACAAATGTGGCGGAAACTTCACTAACTATTGACGGGATAGTGTACGTCATTGATCCTGGTTTCTCCAAACAGAAGGTGTACAACCCACGCATTCGTGTTGAGTCACTGCTGGTGTCGCCTATTTCTCGGGCTTCGGCCAAGCAGCGAGCTGGTCGTGCTGGTCGAACGCAACCGGGAAAGTGCTTTCGTTTATATACCGAGCAGTCCTTTATGCGTGACCTGGAAGAGCAAACGTATCCGGAGATTCTATGCTCTGAGATGAGTGGTGTCGTACTTACTTTAAAACAGTTAGGTATCGACGATCTTGTACACTTCGACTTTATGGACCCTCCTGCTCCTGAAACCCTTATGCGCGCGTTGGAAATGTTGAACTATCTCGGTGCACTTGACGACGACGGTGATCTTACGGATCTTGGTCGTCAGATGGCCATGCTGCCGGTACTCCCGCAGTTAGCCAAGATGCTTATCTCGTCGGCAAAGTATCAGGTGCCACAGGAGGTGGCCACGATCGTGGCGATGCTATCAGTTCAGGAGCCATTTGTCCGTCCGAAGAATGACGCCAAGGCCGCTGATGAGGCTAAATCTACTTTCGCTCACACTGATGGCGACCACCTTACTCTGCTGAATGTTTTCCACGCATATAAACTGAACAACGGCGACGTCAAGTGGTGCTACCAAAATTATTTGAATAGTCGATCACTTCAAAGTGCGTCAAACGTGCGCGACCAGCTAATTCGCAATATGAAGCGCTTAGAAATGCCAACTCAGTCAACTCTAGACATCCACTCACCTCACTACTATCCCAACATTATCAAGTCATTAGTGTCGGGATTCTTCACGCAAGTTGCACATAAGGATTCTAGTAAAAACTACATGACTGTGAAGGATAACCAGGTCGTGCATCTGCACCCCTCGTGCGTGCTGGATAAGGAATCCGACTGGGTTGTCTACAACGAGTTCGTGATCACCAGCCGTAACTACATTCGTCTGAATACTCGCATCATGGGCGACTGGCTTGTGGACATTGCGCCTCACTATTTCGACCTGACTAATTTTCCTCCTGGTGAGACCAAGCGTGAACTTGAGTCGCTATATCGTCGCATGAATGCCCGTGACAAATCGAAGTAATCTTAGAACATCTTACACGATAGAGTCAATGCATCACCGTCATTCTGTGATTAGTGTCAAATTTGTTCTCTACTATTCCAATTCTCTACCGAACTGGACGTACCAATCTAAGTTTTCGTTTCTGTAGCTTTTTAGTACCGCGACCAAAGTCTGCGTGTTTTTGCGATAAGCCACGGCTCAGCTTCTTGAGCTTAGTACGTGAAGGCGCTGTCTGTTGCTGAGGCTTTGCTGACTCATTTGTAATAAAATCTTTACGTAACTCCTTGATAGTGCTATTACTTCGCTTAGAGTTTTCAATACTCATGGCAAGCGCAAGATCATGCTTAGTAACGAGACTGGTCACAAGACCTGACTCACCAGCTCGGCCCGTCCGACCAGCACGATGCACGTAGTCAACAGCAGACTTTGGAAAGTCAAACATTATCACGTGCTTGACCGACACTATATCCAAGCCACGAGCTGCAAGATCAGTACATACCAAAATTTCGACATCACGAACTCCAGTGAACGCACTGATAGCTTCGTGACGACGAGTAGGCGGCATATCGCCATGAAGACACACCGTGTTTTGAAAACCGTGTTCACGCAGCATATGCTCTGTGGAGCGCACACTTGCAGCATTGCGACAAAAAATCATCGTTTTAGTCGCGCGACGTCCGTGCAAATGCAAAGCTTCACGCAAAGCCGAGTGTTTATTCTCGGGATTAACCCGCACAAATTCTTCTCGAACAGAATCCGGCGTCTTGTGAATCTGATCGTCGCTGACGATGTGCAATTTGCCAAACTTCTTCTTTACTACTTGATCGACTGGCGAGCGAATCGTGGCTGCTGCCAAAATTATTTGTATTGGCTGATTACGTCTGGCTGCACTAGCCTGAATCGGTTCAAGTACCGCATCTAGCTCTTTGCGAAAACCCATTTTAGTATCTAAGAGCGTATCCGCCTCATCTACTACCACAGTATCAATACGAGAGACGTAGAAGTCTTTCTTACTAATGCATTTAGCAACACGACCAGGAGTTCCAATAATTACATCGAGTCGACGTGCTGCGTTCTTCTGTTGAATGCTTTTGCGTTCTCCGCTTGTAATAGTGCACGATGCAAATTTGGCTGTATGTGATAACTTCTTAGCCACAGAAGCCACTTGCAATGCCAACTCCCGACTGGGCAGCAAAACAAGCGCACTGGGACGGCCCAAAAGAATTTCAGTCGATAATTTGGACTTGTTATCTCTTTGCTTAGCCACATCGTTACGAAGAAGCTGCTCTATCACAGGAATTAGGTAGCACAGCGTCTTACCAGTACCTGTCTGAGCTGTGCAAAGCACATCGTGACGCGCTAAGATGGCTGGTATGCATTTTTGTTGGATAGCAGTAGGTGTCGTAATCTGCATCTCCTTTAAACCAGCTACGATACGTCCATCCACTCCAATATCTTGAAAGGTTTTTGCTCTAGATAAGAAACGTGATGGTGCCGAGCTGAATAGCGTAGATGACCCCGCGAACATGCGGCTACGCTGGAAGAGTGCGATTGGCACCATAAGCTGAAGGAGTGGTCAACTAGTAGGCTGAATACAAATTGTAAGTTATGCCTCTTTCCCTATAAATTAGCCAAGGCGCTGAAATTATAGGCCAAGTTTTTTTCGAATACCTACTGTGTTGGGTAGATAGATAGATGCAAATGAGTCAAATAGTTGTAGCTCATGCTTTGAACAATATAACCTGTTATAATAGTGAGACTATGACGAAAACATTTGCTAGCATCGTATACACCAGATATCTCACAAAAGGATGCTGGTCATTGTCAGATCGTCGTCACAACGGCATGAAATGCATTACACAAAATACGCTCATAATTACAAATAAGATGGGAATACTACTTCAAAATTGGGAATTCAGATAATTAATTTTTTTGTAATGTTCCAATATAAATATGTGTCCATACAATCTGACATAAAGGGGAAGAAAAACAACAGATTTAACCTCTCCCTCGTCTCGTCTCTCCACATAATCGCCACACGATCGACAAGCATCGAACACGCGATAAGCTCAGTGTTGTAGTCTCCTTCTCTCTACCTTGCATTCTCTCTCTCTACTCGCCACTGTCGAGTCCCTACTAGGTGACAGCGATGTATTCGTCATACTGGAAACCTAATGACGGACGCGAGTCAACTATACCAACAGATCACGAAGCGCTACACCGTGATGAAGCCACGCACAAGGCCATGCAGTCTGACGAGACAGAACTTCGTCCTCTTGATTTAGAGACTATCATGAGCTCAAAAGCTGCAGTCAAGTTTTGGTATCTGCATCGTCCTAAAACCATGGCGTATGTACACAAGAATGCAACTAAGATGCAGAGTCTTGGCCGTGCCTTTGCTGTGCGCAGGCTGCGCGAAAAACACGGCGCGGAGTATATGGCCGCACTGGCTAGAAAAGATCAAACGCGTCGTGAAGCTGATACGCTTAAGGAGCTTACAGATGAAGAGCGTGCTGCTAAGGAGGCGAATGACGCTGCTTACGATGCACGTGTGGAAGAGTCTCGTCGCCTACGTCGTGAGCAGATTGAGGCCGAACGTCGCGCCGAGGAAGAGCTACGTATGAAAATGGCAGCTGAAGCCTCAGAGCGTCGGCGTATTGAAGAGGAACGCAAGGCTGCGGCTCTCGCAGCTATGGAGGAAAGTGAGCGTTTGGCAGAGGAGGAGCGGATGCGCAAGGAGGCAGAGGCTGAAGAGGAGCGTCTGCGTCAGGAAGAAGAGGCAGAAAAGGAGCGTATTCGTAAAGAAGAAGAAGAAGAAAAGGAACGCATTCGCAAGGAAGAAGAGGCTGCACGATTAGAGGAGCTACGATTGATTGAAGAAGAGGAACGTCGCGCTGCTGAAGAGGCCGAGGCTGCCCGTAAGGCGGAAGAAAAGCGTCTTGCTGCTCTTGAAGCCGCTCGAATAGCTGAAGAAGAGGAGATTCGTGCTGAAGAAGTGCGTCTTGCTGCTGCCGAGGCGGCGCGTCTTGAAGCTGAGGAAGCTGCGCGTCGCGAGGAGCAAGAACGTCTCGCAGAGGAAGCGCGTCTTCGTGAAGAAGAAGAGGAGCGTTTGCGTATCGAGGAGGAAGAACGATTTGCAGAGGAGGAACGCATTCGTAGGGAAGAGGAGGAGGCTGCTTTCTTAGCAGCTCAAGCTCGCCAAGAAGAAGAGCGAATGGCTCGCGAAGCAGAGAAAGAGCGTCGTGTGCGCGAAGAGGCAGAGAGACGGGAGCGTAAGCTTGCGGAGGCAGCCCTTGCTGCGAAACTTGCTCATGAGGAAGCTGATCGCATTCGTCGAGAGCGTATTAAAAAGGAAAAAGATGCTAAGTACGAACAGTCTTTGTCCAAGGACGTGCCTGTCCGCGTTCGACAGCGTGGTCCTGGTCGTGTTGTCAGCTATGACAAGGAGCGAGAAACTTACGCTATTAAACTTGAAAAAGCCGCGGGAGGTATGCAAATTACTGTTTCTGGTGATGATGTTCACCTCGACGATGATCGTATTCTGTCGCCACGCACGAAGGTGGACACACCATTTGGCACTGGTGAAGTCGTGGGTCTTGATCCTCACGTTGGATGCTACGCCATTAAGACGGAAATGGGCGCGTCAGATGACGACCAGTTTTTAGCATTTGTTCAGATTAAAGATGTTGTTGTACACGAGGAGGAAGAGGAAGAGCGTGCTATCGTGGAAGACGCTTCATTACCGAGTACGTTGCGAGTTGATTGGAGTATAATCACTTTAGGTGAGGAAGCGTTGTTCTAACGTATGGTTGTTTGAATGTATTGTTACAGTTCCCAATGAAATTGGTTTAGTGTCGGCTCGCATCGTTGATAGCCGCATCGTGAACCGCACAGGCAACAAATTTATCCAGTACAAGCTTGAGATTCGTACAACAAACTATGGCACAGTTTATTGCTGGAAACGTTACAGCACCTTTCGGTATGTAAACTCATCGTTTTAACAATTTCATGATTAACTAACGATGCTTCATGTCTGATGCATGATACAGCTCGCTTTGTGACCGCCTCATCAAGGAAAATGGTATGAAACGACGTGACATTCCGGAGTTGCCGCCTCGTCATTTGGTGGGTAACTTTTCGCAGAAGACGATCGGAGAGCGTGCCGAAAAGCTCAATTTGTTTCTGAGCGCCGCTGTGAGAGCCGAACACCTGCAGTGGGGTATTCGTGTGGACGATCAGATTGCCGTATACAAGCGCCGCAACAAACGTGTGACACAACCCAGCAGCCAGCCGAACAGTCGTGCCAGTCGAAGCATCTTCTCGCGACGACGGTAATTGTAGGTACATATCCCGTCGAATGTTGCTGCGGGATTGTCTTGTTCAGTCAATGGTACATTCAGAGCCAATGTCTTAGTGGGAGAAAATGATTGAGCCTTAGAATTACTACTGCATATATGCGCTGTGCTGCTTCGTCAGCCTTCATCTATGCATGTGCTCGAAGGAAGAGCTTAGGTGGGTCAGCTGCTTACGATCATGAGAATTAGATTTCGACCGTTTTTTTGACGTGTAGTTTATTGAACTCAATTTTTGTGTGTGAACTTTTAGTGTCTTGACTGCTCTATTGTAGCTTTCGCGTCGTCACGAATGCTGCGCAATAACATTGTTAAATGCATTGTATAAATACTTTTATGAACTACACATCTTTTTAGTTCAAATGCACTTGTGTGTCAAGCATTAAAAGTTCATTTCGCGATAATTTTGTCTTTTTAAGCAACACAAATGGACGCAGCACCTCCAACGGATTGTTGCATTTCGCGCCATTTAATCAGCTGCATTTTTCGATACTGATTCACTTCGGTGCTCTTGTACTCGTATCGTTGAAACGGATTGTGGCAGTCACCAGCGCAGCCTTCACAAACGTCTGAGTGGCACGGAACGCCGTTGCGTGCACACTCGCAGTCCGTGTCGGCATTGGCACAATTCTTCACGTCATGCGCCACCTTTTTAGCTGCCGCCATAAGCTCAGTCTTTCCAGTACCAGAAATTGGCACTTTATGTTCTTGTAAGAACGCTCGTAGCTTTTTCACATTCATCTTGGCCACCTTCTTCACCAGCTCTCCACACGAACAACCACATGCTCCATCACGAGAATCGCGAATCTTTGCAAACTCGTCAAGCTGCTCTATAGAGACACACCCAAAATCCGGCGTGCTTGACACGACATCGCCAGCTGAATCGATCTCTTTAGCAAAGTCAATACTTGACGTGGATCCAGTCAAGCATTTTTGCCGCGACTTCCGTCGATCAGGAAACGACGGCAACTCAAGCTCACTTGCTCCATTGACTAAAGGCATTTGTAATTGAGTGAAGACCTTTTTGCGTTCATCCTCGCTCAATCTCGAAAACAGCGGATTGTCTACACCTTGTCGGTAATCAAATTGGCGAGTTTCGCCCACGCGAACATCACGTCGCTTGGACTTGGACAGTTTCTTGGCCCGTTCTTGCAGCTCAAGTTCTCGTAATTGATCAACCTCAATCACACTACCAAGTTCAATGTCTGCAATTTTGTTACCAAGACCTAAGGCCCAAGTTCCATCGTAAGGCACAGCGCTGCCGCCGCCCGGGAAGCGAGTGAATTCTCGTGCGTGTACATCTCCCCATATGATGTGCTTCTTCGCGCCCAATGATGCCGAGCGGTTCTTGCGCTCTGGTAGCGGGACACTAGTAGAGGCCACATGCATGCTATTGCTACGAGCTTTGCGCTTTTTCTTGTGTTTTTTGCTCTTCTTCTGGGATTTCAAGCTTGCTTCTGCGGTCTCGACAGGAATCTCCACGACCTGCATGGGTTTCGTCACAAGACGCACGCATTTTGACGGCAAAGTATTTACTAAGCCAGCAGTAGCATAGGGTGCTTTAGTGAGCTGTGTGATGCCGCAAGATGTGTGATCCGTCTCGATATACGACGGTAGACATGTAAGACGGTGATTAGACCAACTTTGGCGTTGGCAGTCCCGGTTACAGAAGTAGACGCGCCGGCAGCGACCGCAGCGGTTCTTGGCGTCACTTTTGCCACAATATAGACAGCTCTTATCTATAAGTGTGGATATAGTCATAATCTTAGAGGATCGTTTGGAAGCGAGTGCTCAAATCGAAAGTGAAGCATTGCATTAGGTAGTTAATCGTTTTCGGTTTTAAGTACTGAGTGGATATGATGGTTGTTGTAACGGGGTACGAGTTGTAAGATCGCAAATCCATTTTGTCTCAAAATTACAAAAGTATAAAAATTTCTTTAAATGACTATTATGTGTGGCTGCATCAAGTTAGAAATGGGACGTGGTGGGAACCACCAGAGAAAAACAATTTGCCCCAACAAGTTTAAGGGAGACAAGAGATCTACGAGAAAAAGCAAAATATCATTCATTACATTGGGAAGCATGATACTGTGAAGACGTGAGTGCACTTCTTCTCGAACAAATCATTGGGATCATTGGTCTATTATAATGTAGAGTATTTGAAGCGGGGTTGCCGTGCACTTTGCAAGACAAAGTTTTAAGGCTAACTTGCGCTTCTATCAAGAGTGGAACTGCAGCGGGGCTGTCGTAGCTTAGCGCTTAAGGAAGCATACTATAGGTCACCGACCTTTCGTTCTTTACAAGAACCAAGTATGAGTTAGCGGATCGCACCCCGCTTACTCCAAGAATAATTATTGCCTTCCCAAGGCTAATTGACTTTTCGGTTTAAAATCCAAAACTGATTTCTAATTATTTTTATGTGCGACTAATCCGCCTAATTTTAAAAGTATAGATTTTCCTAAATTATATAGTACAATCTAACTACATGTATAACTAATGACTATCTAGCCCCGTACCGTATTCTTGTTTGGTGTGGTCACACCATGCCCATCTGGTGTGATACACACACCTGTTACCGAGTTCTGTGTAACCCCGTTACAGGAACCGAGAGGCTCTAACGTAAACGACAGTGTCAAATTACTTTGCCATTTGACGAGTATATTGTAGCTTTTACATAATTTTGATTTATCCTGATTACTTTCGTCTAAGTATATCTTATCATGAAACTTCATTTATTGCCAAATGTGTACTACGGAGCACTCCTTTCCAATGTTCCGTCTTTTTTATAAACGCGAATATTCTGGAACTCAAATATACTCCGATTTCACCAAGTGTAATGTGAAATAAATGTACTGTATTTGATACAAATGTAACGAGCGTGTGTGGGCATAAGATTACAGGATTTACCGCGCAAAGAAGTTAACCCAGTTTCAACACACCACGCTTCGTAACATCAGCCATTGAATTTATCGATGCATTTGTAAATTTGACGTCCAACCGTTTAAATGATGCCAAAATTGATTTTCTTGGCTCTGATCAGTGCATTGATTGTCGCTTGCGCTAAGCCTATATGGATCCATGCGCTTAATCTACTTCTGCATTTGCTGTCCCCGGCAGAGTCATCGGCGCAACGCGCTTCCCACTAGAGGGTGGTTTAGTTTTATTCCTCGTTCGAAACTTGGCTCTTGATATAAGCAGGATGATTGATCCTAGCATTTTCCGGAGAGTTTAAATTTCCGTCTTGACGTCGAACCCGTGCTTTGCATTTCGTCACGCATTAAACGATGTTCTAGTATGACTGAAAGTTGCTTGTAAAGCCGACCATAGGCAAGACGAAAGAGTGCCGTATTGGGATTATAAGGGTTCTTGCGCTACGTGCTTTCGACAAGCAAGACGAACCCTCTACTTTATCGATGAATGCGCCGATCCCACCATAATTTCTGTAATTAAAAGTCTAGTCGCTCTCCGATTGGAGATGTATATATGGTGTGCGTAGCTCACACGAAGGTAAGAAAGTACGCTGGAGATGCTTAAGTCTTGGTAGAACTTAACATGAATAGGACAGCGAATGCATGAAGCCTGTGAGGAAGGTAGAGGTGGTAATGTGGTCACACGCATCTAGAATACCTTGCCTTCCGGCTAACAGTCCTCCAGAACCGAGAACTCCTCGCCTTCATCACCATAAAGCACCTAATACCTTGGCCATAGATGTAGTGTCCTTCAAGATAGATTCTCGCTTCATATGCACAATCCAACGATAAAGGGGGGGG